ACAAACGTGGTTGAACTCCACTGGCCACTGCTTCTCACTAGAACTCCAGAAAATAACTGTTGAAGCCAGTCATTAGTGAGCATTTGTTGATTATTATCAGATAATAAAATATATTTATAAAAATCTATTAACGCACACCTGTTAGTTTTAGTTTTTCCAATTCACATCATCTTCATACTTGAAATGAAAAGAAAAACTTATACCTAACTACTCGCTAAACATTTAATATATGTACGCATATTACCGACTGACAAATGATTTGTAAATCACAGAATTTACGATACTCAGTCCTAAATAGTCTCAATGAATCAATTCTATGAATATCTTAAAACATAGATAAGTCATATCTGGCTTAGAAAATACAATATACATCTTTGCTTGGACAATGAGAAAGATCAAAGTAATGGTGTATGCAAAGAAATAAGAATCAAGATTTTATGACATGTTGAAATTCTACGAAAAATGGATACTTAATTACATGAATTCATGAAAAAATTTCGGCAAGACTATAATTTATGGACGAACCAATCAGGTTTAGGGCAACAGGTTTCGGATTTTGGCGCGAAATTCGTTCATCCATTTGGCGTTTTGACATTTTAACTGATGTCAGTTTGTAATGAAAGCTCTAAATCTAATTCTTAGCCCTTATCATCAAATGTAAATCATAATCTTTATTTTTTACACAGATTTATGGCTCTCATTAGCTCTAGTAAGTAGGTGGACTTTCTCAAGGTCACTTTAGAGTGGCTAAAAGGTCGTCCATGAATTATAGTCTCATCGAAATTTCTAATCACTAGATTATGCTCAATTTAATGAAAAATTGAATAACAGCCAGTACTGAACTACTGATTCATTATCTTTTAACGGAGGGTAAGGAGGCAAGGGAGTCTTAAGAATCATAGAGTACTGATGGTCTAGGGAATGATCACAGATATTTATTCAAGTTTTAGCTCTGGAACATTACTATTGTTATAATCATTGCTCAAGGAGTATTTTATCATGAATTTGAAGTGTTCGCGTAAAAAATCAATTCGTTCATTCACGTCTTTTTTTCTACTTGGAAAAAATAAACAACTATTTGCTTATAAAGCTTATAACTTCAGACAATATCGAGGTATTCCGCAAAAGATGCGCATATGCCAACAAGAAACTGATCAATTGCAGTCTTAAATAACAATAGGAAGATATAAGTAAACAACACTAAGTGAACTATTTGGTTAGTTGATTGGGAGTGGGTGAGGATGGAAATGAAGCTTAATCTGTACAAATTACATTCCTTTCTAGTTATATATCAAAGGTAATACAATTTATATGATAATTTACTAACTGAGAATAATTATGGATTAAATAACATTTGTTTTCTGTTCCCCTTTTTATCATGTGTATGTTACTGCTTTTTACTGGGTCAATTATTTTCTTTCTTTTTTTTTTGTTTTACCAAACATTCTTCTTATTGGTATTGATGTTGTTGTAACCGTAGTTCGGTTGTTTATTTTGTGTAATTATGAAAGTGTGAATGAAAAGAGGTAAAGAAAAATGCAACAAAATCTAAACAACAACAACAACAACAATGAAAGCGGAGGGTAAAAGAGAAAAATTCAAAGAGAAAATAGGAGATAAACAATATATGATTCATACTGGAATGAATGAATTCATTTTGTATGCACATATCATATATCAATGTGTTTACAAACACATAAACATTATAACGGAATGCCAATTCTACTTGTGTGGAAAAGAAAGGCAGTTAAACTGATAAGTAATGACCTTTATAGAATAATGAATCTACCATCATGATGTTGAAATATTACAAATGAACTGAATAACTGAATAAGGATTAGTAAATTGTGAATTTATAAGGAATTCAAGGAAAAAGGTTATGTTGTTTGTTAGTTTATCCGTGTGTGTGTGTGTGTACATGGATTTAGCAAGAAGGTGTATTATATCAGACCATTTTACAATCGGTAATTCATGCAGGTTGATGTAGGTCTTTATTGTTAATAAAATGAGAAAGAAACTAAGAAGACTTATTGTTTCGTGTTAAAGGTTCCATATATTCAATCTTGAAAGATATATATCCGTGGAGAATTATGAATGGTAACTCTGAGGTCTATTTATGGACCAATGTGATATGTATATTTTCTATTGTATAATTGTTAAGTAACTAAACTAATCAAACAAACAAAACTAAGTGAATTTAAACATCACCCCATTGCACAAGTGGCTATCAGGACTCAGTGGCCGAGTGGATAACGCGATGGCGTTTGAAGCGAAACGTACTGGGTTCGAGTCCCAGAGTGAACATCAACTCTGAGATGCAGGTACATCCAGCTGACGAGTCCCAAATAGGACGAAACGTGAATCAAACTGGATTCCACTGCTAGTCACTATCCATCTTTGCTTACCATCCTTGTGAATTTAGGCTATATCGAGGCAATACGCACAGTATGCACATATGCCAATTAGAGACTGACCAGTTGCAATCCTAAAAACATCAATGGGAAGATTCAAATAAATAATACTAAGTGAATTTATTCATATTCATGTTCCTTTTATTATAAGCTTTATTTTGACCTATAGACTATTATTATACGATTTACCATTCTTGAGTTATCCGTAATCCAATTATTACTGGCTATCCTATTCACAGCCACATTTGGCTAAATCTTGTACAGATGTTATTTTCTATTTTATGGTACGATGTGGTCTGTTTGTTTGGTATATAAACCCAGTATGTTTGAGAATTATGATTCATATTGCAGAGGCTATTATTGGTGTTCTAGACTTAACTGACTGGGCTAGGCAGAAAGCAGGACTGATAAGTACTCAAGACTGTTCTTACTGCTTTTGTGTATCATTGGGCGATCAATAAATTCACTGCTCTCTGATAGGCGGTTTTATCACATTCATATATCAAACAGGGCAAGCACACACTGCACTCGATATAACAATAAAAAACATAACAAATGAACTAAATATCAATAGGATAATTGCCTTTCATCATAACCTTTTAAAGGGGTATCATTAAAACAAGAGTGTAGTGCATCCATTTACAAATAAAAAAATACTTATGATGATGATGATAATGTGTTACGTGAATTCGATTGTTGAATAATGAAACTCATGATATTATGCTAAGATAAAAGAAGATCCATTTAACTCAAGTTCCATATACACCAAAGGTTGAAATAGATCAGTTTTGAAACAATGAACTTTGATTTCGGTGATGTTACGTTCTTTGAGATGAAGTTATCAAAATTTTTTTAATATTTTACTTAACAATACCATCAATCCTTACTTTATATAAAAGTGAGTTTCCTAGATATTCCAAAAGTATGAAGACAAACATGTTTTCATAGTTGAAATCATGAGTCAATTGAAGCTAGACCATCAGGGAAAACCTGAAAGCACTGGACGGCCCTTTCGTCCTATTATGGGACTCCTCAGAAATGCGCATAGACGATCCCGCAACCGCGAGATTCGAACCCAGGACCTACCAGCTTCGCGACGGAGCACTTAACCGGTGGACCACTGAGCCGGCATTCAACAGTGTTAATGTCTAACTTCAAATTATCCACGAAGTTGAGCAACCGTTCAGTGAATTGATATCTCTACAACAGACTTGGTTGAACTCCACTAGTCACTGCTTCCCACTAGAACTCAAGGAAACATTCCTTAAAGTCAGTCATTAGTGAGCATATGATTACAGATAAGGATTTTTGTGGATATTTCAATATTTTCATGGTTGAAATCATGATTCAATTGAAGCTAGACCACCATGGAAAACCTGGAAACACTGGACGGCCGTTTCGTCCTATTATGGGACTCCTCAACAGTGCGCATCCACGAACATGTCTTAATTTGTTGTTTAAGTTACAACGAATCTTTTACTTAATTGGTTCCCGAATACATGATCCATTGATCTGTTCCGGGTAAAACAAAGAGTTGTATTTACATTAAAGTCTTTTAGTTCGAGATTTATTGAATGCTATGCTTTTAGAAATTGCTTCGAGTTCTTAAAATTTTATCGACCCGAAACGTCTACATTTCAGTAATAAAAAATGCGTCCATGATTGTCCCCAAACAGTGATATGTCAAAGTATATCGTATGATTTCATAGCTGTTCTGTGTTCAACAGTCTTCAGAAATGCAAATATTTATATAAAGATTATGAAGTCAATCAACAGCCAACATGATGATTAGAGCAAACCGAATAAGCGGATAGAGATTTTTTTTACAAAAATTCATCACTGAATAAAGACAAACATCATGCTCATCGAGACTTTAGCGATGAAAAGATAATATTAATCAAGAGATTATATATAATAACATTACCCAACAATTAATTAAGTCCTCGAGCACTGTGTGGAGTCACACAATAGGACGAAACGGCCGTCCAGTGCTTCCAGGTTTTCCCTGGTGGTCTAGCTTCAATTTACTAACGCTTTCAACCATGAAAATACTAAATCTCCACAAAAACCCCTTCTGATAATTAATTAATTAAGAAACAGATATTTCTTATTTACCATTTAACTATTTACAGAATTCCAGTGGATAAAATTCTACCATTTGTTATGGCCAACAATAAATGTATACTATTTGATTTCCATCTATATTATTCATATTACAGAAGAATGAAAAATTTCTTGGTGTCTTATCATCTACTCAGCAATGTCTGTAATTTCATTTAATGTTACAAATCAATATACATGATAAATTGAGTGGTCAGTAAAATAAATATGTACATTCTCACACTTTACATCATGAGAAGATCATAGTTAAACAACCGCGGAAAACCAGGAAGCCCTAGAATGAAACTGCCACCCAGTAATTTTTGGTTTTAGATGATTATCTAACTACAGTCAATCCATGATGTGAAATATGAGAATTCAACAACCATTACAAATTCACTACACTAACCATATCTGTGTAGTTTTTGTTTTATTAAAACGAGAAGATTAATTCATGCAAGAATGAACATTATGATTAACATAACTCACTCTTCAGCTTCAACAGAATTGGCTTGAGCTAAATAAGATGATGGAATGTAACCAACTTGTCCAGAATGTTCAACTAACCACCATTCTGAATCACTAAAAATAAATGATGTAAAACAAACAAATAAATGAAAATATAATATTATCAGAAGGGGTTTTTGTGGAGATTTAGTATTTTCATAGTTGAAAGCATGAGTCAATGGAAGCTAGACCACCAGGGGAAATATGGAAGCACTGGACGGCGCACTGCTGAGGAGTCCCACAATAGGACGAAACGGTAGTCCAATGCTTCCAGGTTTTCCCTGGTGGTCTAGCTTCAATTGACTCACGCTTTCAACTATGAGAACATACTATTTTAAGAAATTTTACTATACTATTCAACCTAACCAGTATAGTGGTGTTAGAAGTGTTTATTTCAAGGAATATATTTCTTACAGTGAGTAACTAATAATTCCACACGGAAGAAATCAACACGTATTGCGTCGAAATTTTGAGAGGAACCAAAAAATCAATTGTATAATAAGTAATATTGGCAAATTATGAACAGAATCGACAGTTTCCTAACTGACAATCAATTAGTCGTCATATTAACATTAAGTGCATGCTCTGTTAAGAAGTCATCCATCAAATACTGACTAATCAAATAAACTGAATTAATTATTATTTTTTCAGTTCGGAAATCAGTTAACTGAGATCTTGATCAATTTAGCTTCATTGGTATTTTCACATTCAATCTGAAAATACTCAAGGGTGTTATGCTTATTACTGATATTGTTGGTACAATCAAACAGTCGATTATGTAAAGTTGCATTATTTCATAAATCTATTCTTAGAGAATTTCCATTAGCAAACTTGAAGTAGTACCACGTAATGATGGATTCAATCATATAAATATCAAAAAAATGAAGGAAATTTGCTGATGAGATTATGTATGAATGGTCGAATGGGTAAAACGTGTGAAAGAATTCAGTCATTGCTACTTTAAAGGCAGTGAGTTCATTTCAATAACGATACAGCAGTAAGTTTGGAAATCAAAATAGCTTATATATTTACGATGATGTGGAGTTCAATCACATAGAGTGTGAGACAGTTGGTTGTGTAATATCATAACTCGATTGAAGTTAGACAAGTACACCATTGATTCTGTGTCAGTTTTTTAGATCAAAAACGTTTGCGCGCGAGACCCGAGGTCTAGGGATTCGTTCCTGGATGAGAGGTCGCAGACTCACTTCTGAGCCATTCCATACTAAGACTAAACAGATGTCCGGTGTGTCTAGATTTTCCATGATGGTTTAGCTGATAACGTTACGTGATTCAAACTATGAAAATATGAAACATTTGACCAGAAATGATGAATAACTCTAAATTGATGGTGCTCAACATTCAGTCCTAGATTCGAACCTCGTCCCATCTATTTCGGTCTGGAAGAATGGGTAGTATGGATAACATTCAAGCTAAAAATATGGCTCGCACTCAAGTACCTGGTGAATGAGTTAGGGGAAAAACTCTTCTTTAGGAAACGATCAACGAATTATGCACTGTTATCAAATTAAAGCACTAATACTGATAGACTTTCGATTCATTTACTATCAAGTCATGGTTTCCAAAAAACCATTTGAATTTTATCTCACTCACAAACAAATTCCTCAACCTATATAAGATACTTATCTTAAAGCAGGAGTCCAAAAACAGTTTTAGAACATCTATAAATGAAATATTCAGGATATCCATCTAAAAAGGAAATTTTCGAAAACAGGAATACATAAGTGTAGTAGAATATCAGCAATGAAATGTTTTAATTGCATGTCTCATCTTCTAAGTAAGGATTCTCAATCCTCCGTAATATAAATGGTCAAATCAATCTATAGGATTAGTGGAATGATTGAAATAGGTGAAGTGCCAACTTGCTTACCAAACCACTAAACAAATATCGACCGAATAAATTACATAAAATTAAACTACAAGTTGTTCGATCAAATATATTATCTAAGAATTACAGAGCTATCATAAATCATACATGAAATAATCAAGTCAGATATTATAATTTATTAAAATAACAAGTGACTTATTAAATATAAAAGTCAAGGTCATAAAACAATCAATGATTTGGCAAACAATCATATTGTAACACTTTACTATTTCAAGCTAAAACAATTGATAAGACCAGTTTTTATAAGCTAGCTTTGATTAATATAAGATGACTGATTTATAATCTATCTAAATTTTCAATTTGTTATATTTAAGTGACGAAAAACTGATAATTTAGTAGCATGTTGTAAATCCTTTATTCATATTACCAATGTTACTAATTTTCCGTCAGTCAGTCAGCTACAACGTAGGACCAGGCATATTTATGCATCGGTCCAAGTTGCCATACGTTACTAATTTTATGACTCTGGTATCCGCCCTGAAAATTTCATCTAGCTGTGTTAATAAAGTATGACAATTTGAATCAATATACACATGTACCAGGTTTACGTTGCGTCCAACCAACGGATTAATCAAATGTGTTATTTTTATGATATACTCAGTATTTCAGTCAGCATAGCTGTGATTGATATTAATTACATTGAAATGTGATTTAATGTTTAAGGTATTCATTATCTAATTACTATATTAAGAAAACCTGGAAGCAATGCATGACCGTTTCGTCCTATTGAGGGACTCTTCAGCAGTGTCTATCCACGATCCCGCATTGCGAAATTTCAACCCAATACCTATCAGTCTCGCGTGTGAGCGCTTAACCTCTACACCACTGAGCCGGCCGGTATCCAACAGTGTTAATGTCTAATTTCAACCAATCCACGAAATTGAGCGACACATCCACCATTGTTTTCAGTGAGTTAAAATCTCACAACAAACCTGGTTGAACTTCATTGGTCACTGCTTTACACCAGAACTCCAGAAGTCCCACAATAGGACAAAACGGCTGTCCAGTGCTTCCAGGTTTTCGATGGTGGTCTAGCTTCAATTGACTCATGATGTCAACTATGAAAATACTGAAATCTTCACAAAAACCCCTTCTGACTATATCAAGAATTTGAAAATTTTTCCTTAATTATCTGAAAATGTTGACAAAGAAAGTAAAAATAATAAAACAAGGGGTACAGATTTTTTTGTCAAAATCAATCTGTAAATATGTTACTTTTGAATATTGATTTTACCATCATGTAAACATTGAAGAGAAGGAATAATAAAAAAAAGCATTAATATGTATAATTGTATCATTCTTAATAGTTTGTATTATTATGGTTGTTGAAATTCTAGACCACAACTAATTAGTCTTTACTGATATTTATATATTCTGAATGAGTTGATTTGATATTGACTTTTAATTACAAGATTTTAGTCTTGGAGTGAACATCAACTTGACGATAAAGGTACATCCAGTTGACGAGTACCAAATAGAACGAAACACGAATTCTGGATTCCACTTCTAGTCACCATCCATCTTTGCTTATAAAGTTTTTAGTATGTTTGTATTTTAGCTAGTAATGAAAGCTAAGACGATCGTTCCCTTATATTTAGGATTTATCAGCTGTAATTATTAGCATTTAAGCTATAGTGTGAACATTAACAACACTAGTACGTAGGTACTCTTAGTTTATGAGTCTTAAGTTGGACAAAACTCAGGTCTTTGACTCCACTGCTGACCATAAGCACAGTGGTGATCTAATGATTAAAACATTCGACTATCGACCACTAGGTCCCAGATTAGAACCCTACTCCACCTAATTGGACTTCAGCAACCGTGTAGTGTCATCAGTCCGCACAATTGGAGTGTGGTTCATACCCTAGCACCTGGTGAATGAGTTAACTTAGTGAAATAAAAACAAACAAATACAAAATGTATAGAGTTTTAATTTACTATGATTTACTATGGATGGATTAATCTTTACTATTCATGAAAATGAAAAAAAGAACAAAACAACATTGACAATTAAATCTTAAAAAAACGAAGAGTAACTAAACCTTAAGAAGGAACATTGTTACTATGTTAAACTAAACACAAACAATCATGACTAACTATATGACTTCAATATCACAACTAAAGATTTCAAATGTCAAAAAATTCATTAAGAAATCATATTAACCAAAACACAGCATGTATAGGGCGCCTAATAACAATTAAACAAAATGTATAAACTCTCAATTAGATTCTTTTTATCTACTTCGTGTTAGTCAGACTAATGAAGAACAAATAAATTCATTAAGTTATCATTGAAATATTGAATAATTCTAAGAGAATGAAAATTAATTCAAACAAATCATTATAAAGTTGAAATCATGAGTCAATTGGAGCTAGACCACCATGGGAAACATGGAAGTATTGGACTACCGTTTCATCCTATTGTGGGACTTCTCAGTAGTGCGCATCCACGATCCCACCTCACGAGATTAGAACCTACGACCTACCAGTCTCGCGTGCGAGCGCTTAACCGATAGACTATTGGACCGGACAGCATCCAACGGTGTTAATGTCTAACTTCAACCGATCCACGAAATTGAGCGACACATCCACCATTGTCTTCAGTGAGTTATCTCACAACGGACCTGGTTGAACTCCATTGCTTATTGCTTCTCACTAGAACTCCAGGAAATACCTCATCGAGCCAGTCACTAGTGAGCATATGATAAGTGGGTTGTTTGTAGAGATTTTGATGTTATTATTATTATTAATTATTAACAATTGATATCAAACGTGTAGGCCAATAAACTACTAAGCCGTTCAGTGTAAGATAGTGGTGATTGGAGGTAGTCAACATAAAACCCAGATTGAAATAAGTTGCGAGCTATATGACGCTTGTTAATAAAGTGTACCTGTCATCGTCAAAGAATCGATGCTCTCCAGAGGATGTGAACCCCTTTTGATCAGTTCCATACTCAGAAGTTACTACTCAGCTACTATGGTTGCCACTAACCTGTAGGGTTGAGACATATTTACAACCAATTGACTACTGCGTGCTAACTGATGTTATTTATTACAAGCCGTTTCTAATGCTTATCGCATTCTACCAAGTATCAGTTTCCTCAAGACAGCAGGTTCACTTTACTGATGTGTGCTTAATGGCATGGCTCCTAAGTGAAGTAGAATG